GGAGGAGTGTCGCCCCGCACGGCCGTTATGCGCCGCCGCCCCTTGGCGCCCCCTTCCAGTCCTTCAAATGCGTCAAAGGAAGACGCAACACGCCCGTTTGCAAAGTACCATAAAAAGATGTGTTATTCAGGAAAGAAATGTATATGGCCGCCCAACTCGAACAATCCCGCTCTGGGTGGCGTACAGAAATCAATCAACCAACCAACCATCCAATTAAAATAAAAGCAAACTCTTAATAGGCGATCAGGAACTGGCAAGTATAGTACTGCCCTCCTCCAGACAGCGACCCATCCAGGCCCCCGCGCCCGAGGAAAGAGCCAGGTATTTAATGCCTTTCTAAAGGCCAGCACGGCCGCAGCCAAATTGGAGGTGGGTGGCGAGATGTGGTTCCAGAGGTCCCCTCAGGTGGCATTGTTTCAGAGAAGGGACCCGAAGGATGCCTGCCCTGTTAGAACAAGCAGGCCGGGCAGATGCCAGTGGGGATATCGGTGATCATGTTTCTGTCAATCACTGTCTTCAAGACTATATTTTCATCCTGTTTTTCATAATTATCTAGTGCAGTGTTTTTCAACCTTGGCAACTTTAAGATGTGTGGATTTCAACTTCCAGAATTCCCCAGCAAGCATGCTGGCTGGGGAATTCTGGGAGTTGGAAGTTCACACATCTTAAAGTTGCCAAGTTTGAAAAGTGGAAGGCAAACCCTCTTGTTGGAGAAGACAGACCTATATTAATGGCTGAACTACTGTGCTTTTTTCATGTTGTCCTTTTTATTGAGCAGCTGGTACATCTTTTATTTTTAAAATATCTAGAGGTATTTGAATTGTTCTTGACATCTTTTGCCAATCTCAGCCATTCCAAAATTTAGCTTTCCTACAAACCTTTCTACACTTCTAAGCCTAGACTAGCTTAGCTTGCTGACCTATCCCTCTTTCTATTTCAGTTTGTGTCCTTTTAATTTTCAGAACTTTCCTAAGTTTTTTGTCTCCTGTCCTCCATTTTTTTCTCACTGGAATGGCCTGCAACTGCACTTTAAGCATCTCCTTTTTAAAGAACTTCCATCCTTCTTGAGGTCCTTTTAATTAACCTGTTACTGTGTTTCTCTTGCCACTGAATCCTATTTATCATTGCTCTGAGTATCTTAAAGTTCAAGATACATGTCCAGTTGCATTCCATTTCCCTTAAATGAAGCTCAAGCATGACAAAATTTGTTTCCTCCAATGTTTCTACTACTTTCCTTCTTAATGAATGGCTTTCCCCAAAGGAAAGTTAAACTGCAATCTACTTGTCCTTGAGTTCACAAATAATTCTCTCTTGGCTTATGCAGGACATTTCTCCAAGTGATTGAGTAAACTCTTTGGCTTTGCTACCCTCCTTTCAGGACATTGCCAAATGGTGGGTAACCATCCACCAACCATGACAGAAATGAGGTTTAGTGCTCTTTCAAACTCTATACCTCCTGAAGTGAATTGAATTGAATTGAATGTTGGATGTACAGAGTTTTGAAGAAGCACTAAACAGGCACTGGTGAAGTAGGAGAGTGCTGCTCTTCCAACCCTGGACATCTTCACAAGCCTGATAATCAGCTTGTGGATGTTGGGGCTTTAAAAGAACCATAGACTCCTCTTTCAGAAGACCATTAGGTCTCTCAAAGACTAGGACCTTTTCAGCTTTCTGCAGGATTGGAGGAAAAAAAGGATAATGGAATTGAAGGAGAGAGGGCATGCTCATAACAGCTTAAAATTGGCAATAGATGCCAAGCTGATCCTGCCTCCTGTGGGACATTTGATTGGCCACCAACAGCATGTTTGGTGAAGTGTGTCAGATTTGATATACTTTGAAATTGTTGCTGGTTACTGTCAGCCTAAGGGGAAAACACTAATTTTCATATGTACTCCCCCAAGACACCCCCCTTTAATCCTATACTATCCTTTATAACTAAACACAGAATGTCACATTTATCTACCTTGCATTCAATCTTGTTGGTTTTACCCTGATTTCAGCCTCGTAAGATCATTTTAAATCTTAATTCATTCTTCTATAGAATTCTCAGAATTCTCAGCAATGGCAATGTTGGGCAGGGAATTCTGGGAGTTGAAGTCCGCACATTTAACAGTCGCCCAGGTTGTTCTTCTGTAATATTGGCTGTCTAGCCTAGCTTGAGAAGAAACAATAAAATGGGGGACTGTGGGGGGAAAAAACCTCACAGATTGAAGTCATTATGGCTGTACTAATGAAGCTGCAACTAACTTGACTGTTAAAAGATAATTTGTGACCATATGGCATCTAAAGTTGCACTGGATTTTCATAAGTAACTGAAATGGATTAACCCTGAGGTTCTGCAGAATGCTTAATACATTATTTAGCCATACATTCCCCAGTGGCCAAGAAACTCAGAACTTACCCTATTCAGCAAATATTCTCTATGATATTAATGGTATTGTACTTGCGCATTTTGCTCTTTTTACTGCTTCATGTTCAGCACAATTGGGGATATTATGAATTGCTCCATATTTTTTCTAGCTTTAGTGCCTCTCAGGAGACAATGCTTTAATTCCTACTTTCTTTCCATATTTTTCTCACCATCTTTTTTAAAGAGCAAAATAACTGACTGATGTTAGGCAATAAAAGAGAAATTAATCACTTTTTCTGCCAAGTGGAAGAGAAAGCAATGATGCGATCACCATGTCATCTGGATTTTCAGTTTAAAAACTGAGTAAATAGATTATGGCGATTGCAGAGAAAATTATTATCCGGGACACAATTCTTATTTCATTAGAAGTGTTTAGAGCTTCTATTCCATGATTGTTTATACAACATTGCTTAGAAGCCTCAGTCATAATCCTTGGTGTTAGAATTACACTCTGTGGTTTTGATTTGTTTCTGCTTTGATCCATCTGGAAAAATGGCTGGTCTTTTGAAGTTGTATTTGGAGATCCTTCATTGCAATTTCATCTGCAGCAACTTTGTAAAAGAGTCTGAGGCAAGCCAAAGGATTTGGGGTCTCTTTCATTTGACTAGCATAGAAAAACTAGATGGTTCAGATTTTCAGCAGAATTGGCTAGGTGGTTCAGATTGCTTTTGCTGCTAATGAGTTAAATTGCTCTTTCCCTGGGGCCCTCTTGCAGAATGCTAGGTATATATAACTCCAGCATCCCAGCACGGTTTGGGGAACAAACATTCTGTAGACTACTGTAGGAAAAAATAGCTTGAAGGATTTGTTTGAAATTCACAGCAGAAAAGTGAGGGATACATTCTAGTTAGAAAAATAAAAATACCATACACTATGTGAAAGGAAAACAAGACTGCAGTGATTTCCGAGATAGGAAAAGGGGAACCTACAATATTGAGCCACAAGATGGGGCTGCCATTACATGCAAAGATTTCGGCATAGGCTGTAAGTTTATTTTGCTGAATTCTACTGGGAAAAAAGGATATGAAATAAATTGCATGAAAGTACTCAGTGACAAATTATTCCATGCAATAATTGTAGCAGTAATTGAACATTGCTTGCTTTATATCCAGCCATATTCTTCTAGTTTAGTGCTTTCCATGTAACTATTGTAACTTTGCCTAAAAGTTATAGAAGAAAAAGGAAGAAATGACATCTGCCTATTCCAGTGCACAAACCTATAGAGCTATAGAAACTAATTGAAGATGAGAAGTATTCATCCATGATATAGGAAAAAGAACACAAATAGGAAATTAGTCCAAGTAATATTGATGGGAAATATTAACAACAAAATAGTGATTGTGGAATCTGAATTGCAGTAGGTAATCAGCAGCATAAAAATGTCACAAGGTGGGCAACCAATGGCAAACTCCAGTCGCCTTTTGGGACTCTGAAGCACCTAGTGATCACGTTGCTAGGGTTTAGTGGCAGTACTGTATATTTAATTATACTTTATAAAAAATGTTTTTATACATGTAAGCAGTAGAATAATATATCCTGTATCAAATGATTTAGCAAAATTCATTTGCAAAATTATTCTTTGCAAATTTGGGAGGGGGGATTTATATTTTAAAAAGTAATATAAATCCCCCCCCCCATTTTCAAAGAATCAGGCTGAAAATTCTGATCCTGCCCCCTGCAGTAATAGTCATTATATAATGGTCTTATTCCTTCAACAGCTGAACATGAGAATAAAGTTTAATAAAACTAGTAAAAAAGTTGCCTGCACTTGTTTTAAGAAAATGAACAAATAAAAACCAAATAGAAGCCTTGAAACTATTCTAAGCTGTTTATGAATCAAGCCTATACTGCTGAAAGTTAGATCAGATAGTAAGAAGCAGCTTAAAGTTGAAGAACGGAGATTGTCACACCACTGAATTCCTTTTTCCTCCTCCCCAAAAAAGAAGATAAGCAATATCAAACCAAATAAAAATTCTGCTAGCAAAACCATAAAAAACTAACAAAAATGAAGCTAAGCAAATATTAACGGTAAATAAGTAAAGTCCCTTCCAGTATGGAGGGACAGCTTAAAGCAACCGCATCTAGGCTGCAAAATCCAGATGACCACTGGATGGCACCCAAAAGAGCTTTCTAAATTTCTTTGCTACCATTTCGTGGTCATAATAGCACCTAGGACATCTTTTCTTGATTTCTTAATAGTCCAAAGCACTATTTCTTCTAGTTTGTTCTGGAAGCTGGAAAAAATGCTTTCCAATGTTTTATGGAGTTGGTAGAAATTTAGGCCTTATCAAGGGTAGGAGAAGACTCTGGGTTCCTGGAGCTCCAGCCACAGGAACAAATAAACCTTGGAACATTTTCTTACATTACT